CGGAATTGTTAGTCACATAGTCATATGCTCACTTTAAATTTCCCAAAACGCTCACACACACTATCTTAATTCAACAAATTCCCTTTTCTGAGGGACGGGTTTGCTCCAAGCACATTTCGACATTCCGCTCTCCGGACTAAAGTGGTACTTGGAGCCATTAAAGTTAATATTTTATATGAAGAAACACTCAGACAAATTGCGTAAATGAAGCACTCTGATTAATTGAATTATAAAGTTAAAGTTAAAGCTTCAAAAAGGATAATGCAAATACAATTAGAACTTATTAAATTTGATTTGGAATATGAATTGGTTTTGTCGAAGTCAAGCAATACTAATACAATATGTGTGGTTTTCAAGTGAAAATCTCAAGAACTCTTGAAGATATAGCCGATTTATTGTGTCAGCATCAAGTGACGGCTAAAGGGCTTCTCAAACTTTAAACACGTTTTTCTCAAAACGAATGGCGGGCACGATAACTCAGAAACTAATAATCCAATCGGTTTCAAATTTTGACACGTTTCTCTGGGAGTGTGTAGCTCTCGTATGAACTAGGATAAAGCCAATCGGTGAAGATCTTCCTTATTATACCCTACACAACTATGTTGTCAGGGTATTATAGCTTTGTGCAGCCCCAAATGTTTGTAACACCGCGAAATATTGGTCCTAGACCCACCTTTAAGTATACCGATCGTCATATCTCGACTAGCTGAGTCGATCTAGACATGTGTGTCCGTCCGTCCGTCTGTCCATTATAATTTGTAAACACGATACAGGCCACAGTTATGGACCAATCTTCACGAAATTTTACATGTAGGATGGGTTCTGGCCAATGAAGACCCCTATTGTTTTTGAAAGGGATCGGTTAATATTTAGGGGATGAAATGGACCAAAAACTTTATTTTTGTCGGTTTTTCTGGTCGCTCCTGAGGCCGCAATTATGGCCCAAACACCGCGAATTTTTGCATGGAGAAGGGGATCGAGCCAAACAACAAGCACGCCTGTTTTGACAAATATCGGTCAATATTTAGCGGGTCAAATGGACCCGGACTTTTGTGTGAAAAATGACAAAATTTGTATTCTATGGCGTATATATTTGCCCCTGAAGGACCTAGACCCAAAAAGTTGATAGTATCTTCAAGAGGAGTGGTTGACCTTTAAACTGGTACCTATTTTATTGTCGTATGTACTCGGATGTGGGAGTTACACTTAAATGTTTACAGGTGCTTACGTACTCAAATATTATTTAGTAACCCATTACCACACTAGAGGGCGGAAATATGGAAATATAGCACGCATCACTTTCACTAATATCCAGGTATGGTCAAGGACAACGCCTATAATTTTCGGTGATGATCAGATAATAATGTTGGGATGAAGTGGACCGAAAACGTATTTTTTGTTTGTTTTTTTTTTCGAGTCGATCTACCAGCCACAATTGAAAGCCGAACATCACAAAACAACCCACGTTGAAGAGAATCTGGACAAGTAATTAGAAGGACTGTACTGAATATTAGTAATATTTGTGAACCTCTGGTGGGTCATGAGGGTGCAAACATCGCGAAATATTGCCCAAGCTCAGAATGTGGTACCACAGAAAGTTATATGTTCATGGAAGTTGTGTAGGGTATCATATGGTCGGCCCCGTCCGACTATACTGCTCCGCTCACTGGTTTTTTAACTTAGTTTGTGGTAAAAAATAGGCGATTTTCCAAAAAAAAAATTTTCAAAGTTCCGCCATTTTGTTAATTGTTGTGCGAAGTCAATAATCCTAGTTCATACGAGAGCCAGACATGTCCTCTTTCTAACACAGTTGGAATTTTCGGATTCCGATGTTCCAGTGAGGAGTTATCATGCCCGCCATCGAAAATATGGACTTTTCTTCATATGGTCGGCCCCGTCCGACTATACTGCTCCGCTCACTGGTTTTTTAACTTAGTTTGTGGTAAAAAATAGGCGATTTTCCAAAAAAAAAATTTTCAAAGTTCCGCCATTTTGTTAATTGTTGTGCGAAGTCAATAATCCTAGTTCATACGAGAGCCAGACATGTCCTCTTTCTAACACAGTTGGAATTTTCGGATTCCGATGTTCCAGTGAGGAGTTATCATGCCCGCCATCGAAAATATGGACTTTTCTTTGAACCCAAAAAACAACAACAAATTTTGGTAAATTATTTTTCTTCCTTTTTACATCTTCAAATATATATGTGCCAAGTTACAAACCTTAACAAGCATTGGTATTCATTTACCAGCCCATTTAAAATCTTAAAAATAAAAAATCGAGAATGGGGGGGGGGGGGTTCCCTTAATGGTGGAGTGGCGAGGGTGCACTCCTGCCATTCATTCATAGAAAAGAAGCGAAATAATCTCCCATGTGCTGCATTTCGAGTTTGCTCGAATGTGAAACATTTTCCCAAATTTGGTTTGCTCCATTCCGAATTCCCAAAAAAATATTAGGAATATAATTCGAGCACATCTGGCCTTGTGGATTGAAAACGAAATGAGATCGTACGTGTTTTTCTGAGCACGTACAAGTTGAAAAAGAACGCTGAAGTAATATTTAACGTGTTTTTACAATATTTATTTAAAAACCAGTGAGCGGAGCAGTATAGTCGGACGGGGCCGACCATATGATACCCTACACAACTTCCATGAACATCTAACTTTCTGTGGTACCACATTCGGAGCTTGGGCAATATTTCGCGATGTTTACACCCTCATGACCCACCAGAAGCCCACAAATATTACCAATATTCAGTACAGTCCTAAATATTAACCGACCTCTTTCAAAAGCAATAGGGGTCTTCATTGGCCAGAACCCATCCTACATGCAAAATTTCGTGAAGATTTTTCCATAACTGTGGCCTGTATCGTGTTTACAAATTATAATGGACAGACGGACGGACGGACACACATGTCTAGATCGACTTAGCTAGTCGAGATATGACGATCGGTATACTTAAAGGTGGGTCTAGGACCGATTTTTCGCGGTGTTACAGACATTTGGGGCTGCACAAAGCTATAATACCCTGACAACATAGTTGTGTAGGGTATAAATACAGTATTTACATTAGTTTTTATAGTAAAAGTTAAGAAAATAAAAAAGGGCTCCTTTTATCAAAAACAGCGCGTAACATTCTTGAGATCAATCTGGCAACTCGACCACCATATGATCAAAATAAAAATAGAATCTATAAAAAATCTACTTTTAAGATTTCCAATAGTCCTTTTAATAATGTTTCTTGCAGATGTGTGCACTTCATTATATCGATGTTGACAATATCCATGCTCCACTTGTTTATAGGGCGTCAAAAAAAATGTTTCTAAAGCGTAACCACTGTCTCCTACAAGCCAACTATTTTGCATACCATTTCCACTTTTGTTAATGCTGCCTAGCTGCACTCATATGCCAAATAAAAGCATCATGGCTGGATCCTGGTCTGCAGCTGTCCACAGCTTGCACACACTTTTTCTTCCAGGACTTTCATTACTCTCCACAATATTTACATGCGATCAGCACTCTGTCAAAATATCCATAAATGCTTATTTTAACACGTCCCAGTATAATTTGGTAGAAACCAGGGCAATTAATAAGACAGCAGGCATATTTTTTCTTAATTTTGTTGGTAAACAAATTGCAAATTCCAATGAAACATATGTTTTTTATTGAACACATTTCGTAACATATTGAACACAGCTATGCTTTCGAGCCGCACTTTCGCTCGAAATTGAGCACACCATTTTGCACAACTTGTGAATTTAAAAAAGTATGGGAATTTAAAAACTCTCGGAACATGTCACATGGGCGAATATGAACATCACTGAAAATTTTGAATATGTAAAATCACTCTCTCTCTCTCATATAACCTTGGTAGTTGAAATGGGTGAAGGGGCATTGTATTTCCAACTCGTTGAGGCTGAATGACTCTGCTCTATATTCTGAAAACAAGTTTATCAGAAAATTGCACTTTTATTGCATGACATTAAGATAAATATACGGAGCTGTAAACGTTTTGACTGGGGAGTTTGTTTACTAGATTCTCTATAGCTAATACACAGTGAATCTAAACATGGATCCATACATTAAAACAATAATAAGCGGAATGGGGCGAAATGAAGGAAGCCAAAATTCTTCTTTCTTTAAATATAATACAGTCGAGTACGCCTATAACGAACACCGGTTATAACGAACTTTTCTTATAGCGAACACTTTTCCTGGTCTCGAAGTTTTTAGACATATTTTTCATTCAAATAATTACTTTTATAGTGAACTTTTTTATAACGAACTATTTATTCGGTCCCAGCATTCAGTTTTCATATATTCGAAATTTAATTTTTTCACTAACAGAATTATTTTCTATGGCGCTTGTAGTGGTGAAGGTGTCATTTTACATGGAACAAATACTACACCTAGTTATATAAGGTATTTTATTATAAACATTAACATTTATGAGAGTTAACAAAGATGTAATTCAATATACATTATTAAAATATAAATTTTGGGGAGTTTGGGGAACCCACGTTTGGAAGATACCTATGAAAGTCTAAACCCTATTTTTATTATTTTACGTTCGGAAAATATAGCTCCAAATTTCCCAGAAATAGCTAGAACTGCTAGAAAGCAATTATTGTCCAGACAATACTTCAAAATATTAAAAATAAAATTATGTGTCACTTTAACGATGTTTGAATGTTGAGCGAGGCAAATGTGTTCTTCCCTAAATGGTGTTTTACACAATTTTACTATGTAAGAAGTGGTAACTTTGAGTGTCCATTATGTCATGACGAGGCTTTGTCAAAGATTTACACACTCTGAGCTTCAAGTAACATTTCAAAATAATTTTTGTCGTATGTTTAAAAATATGACACACTGGAATCACTGTACTGAATATTATTGGCGGCATATACAGTGTGACAGCAATCATTCGAGAACAGATAACGATTTTTAAAAACAACAGACAAATATAGGGTCGGGTTTAGCTGAAAATTAGTTTAGTGTATGTAATGGCAATGTTAAGATCAGACTCTCGAAGTGCCTCGCATCCATTTTTGAACGTTGTTTTTGATGAGAACAATAAAATATGGAAGTCTGCGAATTATCCTTATAGCAAGGACACAAATCGTTCTGTCGGCGAGGCTTTTCTTAAATCAATGCGGTCCTTAGATCCATATAAAGTATTGGAGTATCATTTTGACGTAAAGAAGGAGAGGCGAGCAAAAGATATATTTCAAGATTCCGTGACTATAGCAGTGAATTTACAACGACTGGGCTTGAGAAAGGGCGATGTCGTTGTTTTATTTACCGGTTACACGGTCATGACATCGGCACTGACATTCGGATCCCTATTGATTGGGGCTGTTGTGAACTTCTTTGAAGTGGGATTGAACGAAGGTATGTAGCGACAGTGTCGTGATTGCTTAGTAATTTTGGTTTTGTTTCAGAGGAACTTCCCAAAGTACTGACTACAGTGGAACCTTCAATAATTTTCTACGAATCAATATTTGAGAATAAAATTAAAACCTATGTGAACCAAAACAGATCAGTTTCACTAAAACATACTGTGCCTATCGACGGGCCAGAAGCTGTAGTCTTTGAAAATGAATTTTTAAAGGATCTCAAGGAATCGATGTATGCTAACTTCCAGTCTCCGGTTACAACTAATCCTCAGGAGGACATTGCCTTCATTGTGCTGACATCGGGGTCAACAGGACTTCCCAAGGCAATACAGTTGAGTCATGCCACCGTACTGAATGGCATGTATATATGGTGGGCAAATCCTGACAACTACGAACCACTCAACTCCAATTCCATATTATTTTCATTGAGCCCTTTGCGGTGGATCAGTCAGGTGGCTCTGCTCTTGCAATCAGCAATATTGGGCATTAAACGCATTTGTGCCAATCGAGCTGCCACGAGTTCGTATGGCTTAAGAATTTTATGTGAAACCCAACCTACACACATATTCTCGGTTCCATCCTTCTTCTACGACATTCTACTAGAACTGCCAGATGGTAATCGCAATAGTTTGAAGTCTTTGAAATATATTCAACTGGGTGGAGAATATCCCACGAAAATAATTTCCGAAAAAGCCAAGCTGCATGCCGAAAATGCCCGGCTTTACTACAGTTATGGGATGTCGGAAGTAGCCGGTTCCATTACAAATGATGAACACATTAGTGGCGGAAAATTGCAACCAGGTTACCAAGTACAGGTTCTAAATGAAAATAATGAGGCTCAAGGGTACAATGAAAGTGGTCGATTAGCAATTAAAATTCCGTATAAATTCCTGGGATACAAGGGCTTGGGTCGTACTGAATATATCCTATCTAATGGATTTTTCTTAAATGGCGACTTTGGATACTTCGACCGAAATAACACGTTACATCTCCTGGCCAGATATTCAGATTTAATAAGAGTAGGAGGAGTAGTGGTACGTTAATCCCCTAACCCCCATCTAAAATATCATCTAACCGAATTGAACATTTTAGCTCATACCCAATAATGTTGAATCCTTGGCAATGTCTGTGCCTAACGTACAGACAGCCCGTCTAGTTGGATTTGCCAAATCTCCGAAAAGAGCTGATCAGATGTCTTGCTTGTTTCTCACATTGCAGACGAAGTCATCGATAGCTAACACAAATATTGTGGATCGGGTTAAGGCAGTGCTGCGATCAAAGTTACATTCTCACGAATTCGACTTAATTCACCGCGTACAAATTATTGACACATTTCCATTCACCACATGTGGCAAAATTGATCGCATGGTGTTGGCACAGTGGGCCCGAGCGTTGTAAATGTGTGAACAATGAGTAGTTTTGTCACAAACATACATCGACATTATTGTCATTCCGTGGAAAATTATCCACAAATTGTAAACGATATAAAACGCAATACTACAGGGATATCAACCGCCAACGCCTCTAAAACAGTAAACCCTACGAACAATAATAGCCTAGACATGGAAGGAAGATAATACATTCAATTAAAATCAAGATTAACAAATTAAATTTATATAATAAAGCTACATCCTTTCTTCATAAATACAACGTATCTAAAAATGGTATTCATAAAAAAATAACAAAAACATTTTTTTTCGAATTTGGTTTGAATCTGATTAGTTTAAAGTTGGACTATTTAATATAGTATATGTTATTTATTGAAAACATCAGAAACTTTGTTTTCTCTCTCTCCTTAATTGCAATATTTTGAAAATATTATGTATCCCTTTGCCTGTTTTACCTTTAGATAACAAAAAATAAAAAAAATATATATTGAAAGTTGGACCTACTCCTACTGAGGAGACATCGTGATTCTCATGGGTGACTTGAACGTTAAAATTGGAAGCGACAATGGGAAAACACGGCTGAGAGAAAACATAACTGGTTATTGGTAGCTCCATCTTTCCCCACAAGGAGATGCATAAATACAAATGGGCATCTCCGAGCGACAATACTCGCAATAAAATAGATCACATATGCGTTATTAGACGATGGAAAGCTTTCTGTCAGATGTCATCGTAGGTGGAATCAAGATCATACTGATGTGCCCAAGAAGGAACACCAGTCACACTCTCAGTTCTACCGTCTTCTGTGGAATCTGAGTGAACATTTTCAATTGATGGAAATGTTTTAAAATCAAACTAAATATTTACCATATCTTAATGTGTACAAATAGTTTTTAAATTTAAATGTTATTGTACAATGTCGTTAATTTTTTATAATTGTAGTTATTTAATTAATACATATATCATTCCTACCCCTTTTAGTTAAGTCATAGAAAGTCCCAGGAATTCCCGGGAATGAAAGGAGATCAATTACATTGTTGATAACAGGTGGGCTGCAGCAAATTTACTTTCAATGGTCACATCCCTTATGTGATCATGATTAATTGCCTTCATAAAATTGGTTTCGAGCTCATGTGGCAATGTAATGTTGCAACACGAACCCAGTCACAATAATGCCAAATGTGTTGTTGAAACATCTCCACTGGTGCTGCTATTTTTCAATTTCAAAATTACCATCAGATACATTAAAATGGATACATTAACTTAGACCAGCGAATTCTGCCAAATTCAAATACGCATTTACATTACATACCTAAAGAAGTAAACACGCCATTAAGTTCGGTCGGACCGAATTATTTATACCCTTCACCACGTGTAGTGCATTCAAACTTGTTTATGCTCTGACAAAATAGTGTTCCAGACACTAAGGTTGGAAAAATTAAACGAGACGTTTTTAATTTATTCAAAAATGCCTTTCAGAACCCTTTATATCAAATTACAGACCTACCAGATGAAAATGCGGCTAAAGTCTTTAAAATACCAAAAATGGGGTGGTACCGTTCTATGGGAGCGATACCAGAAGAATTTGATAAATCAAATTGGCTGAATTTCGGCTGAAAAACATACCCAAACCCCCCAACAAAACCATTATGGGGGTTATCCGGAAACTTGGGCCAATATTGAAATTTGCCATGAAGCTACATAGGGTCAGTCCACCCTATGATACTTTTTCATGTGTGTTCATCTATAAACGAGTGTAGAATGAAAAAAAAAACGATTGGAATCGCAATGTATGTACAATTCCGTCAGACAGCTACAGTTCTCATCCAAGGTTTGTTTGAGCAAGCACCGTGCCATCTAAAACTAAATCCAGGAGTTCGGGTTGGTATGCCTTTCGCTGGGTATTTTTGTTTCAATGAAATTTAGTACATGTTAAATTTGACAAGCTAACAGATGCATGTGAAGTTTAACACAAAAATATTGTTACAAAATAAAAAAAAACATCACCGAGTGGAAGGCAACAATACAGTAGTACATTTACAACGGCAACATTGACGTATAGCAACAACAAAGGATTAATCGTCAACATATTGTTGTGTTTCAGTTTGACGAATCGAAATTGTATCAGAGGAGGGGTGGCAAATGAGAATCAACTCAAGTGAAACAGACAAAATTTAATTTTCAAAACAATGGTTTTTGTTAACCAGAAGTCAGTGTAAAACCGAACACAAATGTACTGGAATATGTGTTCACGCTCACACATAACCACATGATGTAAGGGGGACGTGCACAACAGAGGGTCAGCGCGTAGCTGTGTATAAATATTAAGGAGGCGCTATCGACCATACAGTTTTCAAGTAGATCGAAGATATAACAATTTTGCCGTTCCCGTTCCCGTATTGGCATAACATTTCGAGGTGTACTCTAAGATCCACTAGAGTACACCTCGAAATGTTATAGAATGGGTAACTAGTAAAATGCATGCATGCATGCCTTGTTACAATTTTTAATTTGTTATATTTTTGTTTGTGTTCTCTTAAATTTGGGCGTACGTTCAGTTTTGCCACCAATGAGCTACAAATTACACTTGGAGGATACAAAAATTACACATTTGGGGGGGAAATTACACATTTATAAACATTTTTTTATTTTGTTTATAAATACTATATAAGACAAAAACATACTTAAATAAATTCCATACACAAAATATATAATAATATATGGTAAGTTTACCAATCGTCGGCACTTTAAGCACGATTGCCGAGTTTGCTAACTAATTATTTCGTAAGAAACATGAAGTGTCGCTAGTGGTGAGAGAACCACATTGAGAAAATCCTAAATTAAATTTATTTAAATAAGTTTAATTTTGCAACAGAAATCCAAAAGGGCCTCCTCCATGCATATTTCTGGAAAATTAAAAAAAAGTTAAACCATTATCAATAATTATAATACTTTTATGTAAAGATTTTAAAGAAATCATACACTTTTATGTAAAATATTTGAAAGTGGATCTGTGGATTACTAAAGAAAGACCCCGACCGCCTAATCCACTTGATGCGATTGTAGTATGACGAAAATCTACTTCAAAATATAAATATATTTTTACAAATCTTAATAACGATGAAAAATTAAATGCAAAGTCAACGCTCGTATGTCAATGCGTTAATACTGATCACAAAACTAAAAAAAATCTATAAATATAAGACATGATTTGAAATAAAGATATCCGTACAAATGATCTGTATTAAAATAAAACATTGTGTTTTTGTGTTGATCATCTACTCATATTATATTCAAGCAAGGACACTTGTTGCTTTGTTAATTTCGTAACATCCCAACGTTTGTAGTGTTTGTGTTCCTGGTACGGTAAAGTACGATAGTGTACCGTTTTGTTGCTCATTTTTTTACTGTTCTCAAAGAATAAATCAGTTGCTTCGCCCATGACATATATGGTCCGTCAATGTGTCGGATAATCTGGATTATATGTGAGTGTATCAAATAGATTTAGTTTTATTCCATCTGAATTGTCTTGAAGGAATGATTTGTATTTTGTTTTTAATTTGATTTCCAACTTCAGCCTTTGTAAGGCGGTTTAATAACTGTACACATACTTGTCCTGTTGCAGGGAAATATAACACACACATGCATGCAAACCTACTTTTATTGTTATTTTTTACAGAAGGGATGTGGTTCACATTCAACTGTCCGTTCAGTTTGACTCAACATCCAGCCGACCATGCCATTCCCTTTTGCCAACGTCAAAAGAAGCCAGTAAGTTCTCGTAAAGGCATCAATTTCAAAGGGATTTTGGATTTGGCTTGATTTATCAGAAAAGACGAACTCATCCTCCACGATGTGGAACAATCAAATGAAACTTCTATATTTCAACATTAAAAATACACAAACCTTGCTCGTCCTTTTTCGGAAAGTGACCCTACGGTCTTAACCAATGTACATGGAATTGAAAACACCCACAACTGAATGTATATACATATATACGTGATTGCGGATCCTTTCTCTTGTTAACACGACACGCTCGGCTGCATACGTTTTCGCTTCATCTGTCAAACATTCTGGGCGTTATCAATATTTAAGCAGTTGGAAGCTACTTTAAGAGCAACCAAAACTTTTTCACGTTCCTTGTGAATTCTCGGCAATTTAATAAAACTCCCTGGGCTGATGAAATAAACCATCAATAATAAAATGTTTAAAACATCTACATGGAATCATGGCACAATAGTAAATCTAGAATTACTTTAAGAAATTAATGAAAACCTGTTCTGCTGCAATGTCTTATAAAACGTATGTCCGATAAATGTACTGAGTAACATTTATGGAGAGAGTTTGCTCTCACAAGTGGAAATATTGAAAATAGTTATCGAACGACATTTAGTAAAATCCAGCAAGAAAACAGATTTTTTCGCAAAATACTTGCATCACAATATGGAGTTTTTTATTAACTCCAATTTCTACTAGCTCCGAGGTTTTTTAATAATTGCTTTTTAAATATTATTTTGCACACAAAATGTTAATATGTATCAATGCTCAACAACTCCTCTACAAAAAAAAAAAAAAAAAAAAAAAAAAAATTAAATATTTTACACTTCATAAGAAATTTTTGTTATTTGAATTTTGCCTTGTAAGGGCAGTGATCATTTGAAAGTAATTTTAAGTGATTATTTATACTCTTTCGAGTCGAACTTGATGATCTAAGTTTTGCAATGAAAAGGAAAGCCAGGAGAAGAACCTACGTACCCACCATTATGCGACGCGTTTCGCCGTTGGTTAAGCAGCTCATCAGGCATATTGGGCTATGTATTGTATTTATTCCGCCTTGATGCGAAACTTGCATATGCGAATTAAATTCAAATTTGTCAAAGTTCGATATTTGTCTTCGTTCCAGGAACAGTCCTTTTTCAAAGCAGATTTTTGTTGTAGCGATGGATAATTAATCCACACACCTACAATTGCTTCCATGGTATACACATGTTTTTTACAGCCATATAAAAA